GCCGACGCTTGATTTTTAAACTTGGAAAGATTCTTTCTATACCAATGTGATCCCTATTAAATTGTCTTTTATTCCAACTGCGTTTCATTTCCAAAGGCGTTCACATATGGGAGATATTGACAAAACTTTAAACCTATAGCATATTGACCACTTTGCCCCATCCCTGAGGCAAAGCGTCCACTGGCGACTTCTCAAGTCCCGATATGAGAAACAGAATAGTTGCCTCATGCACGACTAGGGTATTTGATGGTGACAAGGTTTAAGGGAAGATGGATGTTTACTTTGTTATCTTCCCACCTATTGCTAAACAAAGAAAGAATTTTCTTGGAAAAACATTTAATTGCATAATTTGGTAACTCATGTAACCGAAAAGTGGCTAAGATGAATGCATGACGACACATTTGAATATAAATAATGTTTTTATCCAGATGGAAACAACTTATGGCCAATTGGGGGCTGGCCACTTTGCCCCGGCCGCTTTGCCCCGCGCATACCGTCCGAGACAAAAATATTCCAGCTCAGCTATTAGTGGGGTAAAAAGCATTAAAATTGGTAGAAGGCATGTACGATAACCACGCAATGCATGGACAAAAACGCTTATAAAAATTCCAAACGGTTATGGAATAAAATAACATTTAAAAATTGTAAACATAATTGGTAACCTGGCAAGAAATGCTTTTCCGTGTTTCACAGAACAATGGCGATGGGCCTGAAACCCCGGTCTGGCTCATTCGAACGACCGCAAAGAGAAGTATAATTGGAAATCATAAATTGGAACTGACGCCAGCTGTGGAGGGCTAAAACGATGGATGGCCGCTTTGCCCCGGGTGGCCGCTTTGCCCCACTCTCCCCTACTTACAGACAAGAAATGTAGCGATAGGTATGTCGAAATCCCTGGCATTTATCCTTTTCTTTACCAGCTTAGTTAGTTCGCTTTGTTCGCCCCAATCAGTCCTAATGCACTCAGACCCAGAGGGAATGTGGTGTCCCAGTGATGTCTCGGCTTCCCTCGGTGGTGCTGCCGTCATCTGGCGCCCTCATCTTTCCAACTCGCAGAACAGACGGACAAGTTCCGTGTGGGAATGGTCTGAAAAGGTCAGTCTGGGTACCGTCCTCTGACTAGAGGTCAAGGTCAGGCATCCGGTGGCGGTGGCATCATAACGTCTACTACAGAGAATCGAGTAATGAGATTTGGTGTCAGTTTGGCCGCATTCAGCCACGGCACTTTTTCTCCCTCTCTTTCTGTCTCTGTGTCTCTCTTTCCCTCTCCCTGTCCTCTCTTTGCCCCTCTCTCTCTATCTCTCTCTCTCTCTCTCTCTCTCTCTCTCTCTCTCTCTCTCTCTCTCTCTCTCTCTCTCTCTCTCTCTCTCTCTCTCTCTCTCTCTCTCTCTCTCTCTCTCTCTCTCTCTCTCTCTCTCTCTCCCTCTCTCTCTCTCTCTCTCTCTCTCTCTCTCTCTCTCTCTCTCTCTCTCTCTCTCTCTCTCTCTCTCTCTCTACATTTTCCCTACACAACAACGACAGGTCATGAGACTTCGTGATTACTAAAATCTTCAGAATCAGGACATCGGCCTACTATAAAAAAAAAAAAAACGGTCAGCCTTTCCAAATCCCCAGGTCAGAAGCTCTTTGCCTCACGTCGAGGTCCAAGTGGTAGGTCGACCAAAGTTCAGATCTATTGGCCCTCTTCCTTCGGTTGACTGCCGAGCGATGTGACAATTCGAGCCACACGTTGACTGTAAAGTGTGAGCTTTGGAGTGTGGGAATACGGCTGGGTATGAGAGCCCCCCCTCTTTCCTACCCAGCCCAGGCTGCAGTATCGGGTAGCCGGAACTGAGGGCGGCTCAGGTTTGTGGTCGCACCATAACAGAGGTAACGGCCCACAGGCGTGACTAGACATGTCACATGCCTACACGAACGGCAGGTCCAGCAGTGTGTGACGTGCCTGGCATCGCCGGCATAACTCACAGGCGTGATCACGGGAAGTTATGATACTGTGTTACACGAACTTCAGTTTTTACACTGTTTATCACGGGGCTTACACTGTTGACCGTTAACTTGGCTTTCTTCAGGAATATGGGATTTGATTACTTACCGGACAATTTTTGTTTGTTTGTTTTCATGTTCTCTATCTTTTTATGGAAGGCTATCCACTGTCCGTTTTTGTGCCCATGCTGTCGCTGCCCGCTAACCGCGCCAGTTCTGATTCGTTGATGACCGATGACGAATTCTGCTCGGAGGATGAAGCTTCTCTTATGGGAGCAGAGCGTGTCTCCGCTCCACTTACCTGATCGGCGCCTGGTAGCCAGATGACGCCCACACTTCGGTTTGTTTCGGTCTTAATGCGTCATTGTTTTACTTTTGGTTGTGTTGCCACTGGCCACACTAACGGTCTAAAGACACCAGTTGGAGCTAGAAAGCTCGGCTGTGGAAGAACAAGTCTCAACTATTTCCAAGCAGCAGGTAGCTGTTGCCTGTTTTACCTGAGATGTCTTTCCCTTGTTTGAGTACGAGTATTATGAACAAAGTCGAGTCCACTAGAGCATGCTATTTTTGTGAGCGCATTCAATAATGTTACATAACCCCAGATTTCGTTATGCAACTGCAGGTGGCGCTTCAGCGAAGCGAGGCTGAGTAAGCTGATTACCGTTAATGATATCTTTTTCCACGTTGACACTAGATTTCTCGGCTGTGGCTGTGTTGAAAGTATTGCCATGGTGTAATAAATAACATAGTGTTATTTATTACACTATGGTATTGCTTTACCGAGGCGTCGAATAAAGCCTCCAGTGCTTGGAAATATGTAGGGAGAGGACAAGTAAACAAATTTATGCTACACATACCTAGGGCTAGGGGAATATTTATCATTTTTCCATGGGAAAGTTTACTTTATTTTTAAACGTTAAACGCGGAAGACATTAATGCATCAGCATTTATTCTCTCTATAAGTATGCAATTTTTATATGTGCTGACCCCCCTAGCTCAGCAAGTTATGGAAAATGTGCGTACTGTGTAGTAATTAGCAAAGTGGCCAGAGTGAACGCCCTCACCTGGCGGATAACAAATGACGGAATCCTGAACATTTGTCACCCACGACCCCCGGAAGTGCGTGACCTGGCAAACCTCATGCCGTTCTATCCCACATGTCATGGTTTCACGGCTCGACTACGCTGGGCTACTCTTTCAGACCACCTGAAGTCGTTAGCGTAAAGGTCGAATTCGCAACTTTAGAATGCTGTTTCCTCGTACCGATAGCCGCATTTGGTACGAGTAGCTATTTTTTTTCTGGAGCAAATAATGCCTTACCATTGATATATTTTATATATGTATGTATGTTTTATAATCATGAGCGATCCACACATGGCGTGGCGATTACCGCTTAGTTGCAATCTGCACAGTTGTTCGGCCCAAGGCAGTAGGTAGTTCGGCCTTATAATTGTTTCCTCGTGGCGCAAACTGATCTTTTTATTTGTAATGGATGCATCCGAGGCTGATTTATTTTGCCGGTGGGTACAAATAAGTAATTTATTTGTCTGATTTTCCTTATGTAAAATGAACACCGCGCTGATCGTTCCTCTCTTTCGTTGCAGATCTAAGCGGAACTCGGTAACCTCAGGAATAAGCAGGTAAGTGACGTCATCCATGGAGGATCACACCGATGATTCAACTGGGGAAAATCCATGGGGTTTGATAAATTATTTATCAGTTTCGTTTTTCTAGCTCCTGGCTTGTGTAGCTTTTTAGGGGACGTTTGAACGGAGCATAGCTTGTTACTCATATGCAGCACCTATTCATGCCATATATTTCAATATCTTACGCTATTTATCCAGATCGGTAATTTATGTGTACGGCAAATTGCAGCTTACTGTGATTTATGACATCCGCTTGGTCACAAAATGATTTGTCATATGCTACGGCGCCGCTGCGGCTGACTTGCCGACCGAGGCGACATCTATACCACTACTGGTCATCCCGTCTGGGGCTCTGTTAACCAGATGTCTCTGTCGTCAGCCCGGTGTACCGGACTCCCAGCTTCAACTCGTCCGGGCGCAGCTCCAACTGCGATGGCGAGGACATGTACTCGGATATCTCCATAGAAGATGACGTCAGCGATCTTAACCAGAAGGTAGGGATCTCACTGGCACACATACTCTGCTTTGTGGAGAGATATGAATGGCTAGATTGAAGGTAGCTCAGTATAGGTGACCCTCGTCCTGATCGGAGCGAGTGCCGTTTGACAGCGACAGCTCTGCGAGCTGCTCCTAGCTACTTTGGCTTTATGTATGACTACCGTTTTGTGGGCACCCTTGACACAGTGGATAAATGAGGGTTCAGTACCACCGTTAGCAGGTGGCATCTGGATCTCAGTTGTGACCTCATCTTCCCGTTCGCTCCTCTACCATCCTGCCTCCCATCACTCGGGCTAAACCAAACACGAGTTCCGTCTCTAATTTCACTCTCCCTCCGTTCCCTCTCGGCTCTCTGAGTCCGCCCCCCTCCCCGCCGCCGTCATTCGGTGAATCATCACCAGTGTCACCAGTCATCACCATCAGCATCACCCACATGAATGGTGCCGGTCGGTCACTAACGTTACCAATGCTCAAATCAAACGTCACAAATGCTTACAACGTCACCAATGTCCATAGGCTACCAAAGCCAAACCGTCACCAATGTCGGAAAACGGTCACCAATGTCCAAAGCGTCACCAATGTTTACAAACGTCACCAATATCTACAACGTCACCAATGTCTACAGCGTCACCAATATCCAAATCGTCATCATATCACTAGCGCCACCTACACCATCACTACCATCACCAGCGTCACCATCGTCACCACCATCATCTGGCACCCTCATCACCACCTCACCAGAAAGTTAGAAACCCGCTGCATGGGCCGGACAGGCCTGCAGGGCCCTCTGGCGACTCTGAGTAAAAATAGCCGCAGGCGGCGGCGGCCGGCGGGAGCAGCGGCCTGGCTAGACGGGACACCAGTGGGCCGCGGCGCCGCGTGGGGCCGCCTGAGGTGGGGCTTGGGCGGGTGAAACCGTGTGTTTTTTTTTGTGTGCGTGTTTGCGATTAGTGACGTGATCAGTGGTGTATTTGAGAAGAACTCGAGTGGGTATTTATTAGTTTTGGGGGGATGGGGGAGAAAGCCACGATCTGTGAGGTCACAGCGGGTGTTGAGTTGACATGCTACAAAAATTAGCCCCTATCCTATAAATAGTTTGGATATTTATGATCAAACCACGGCAGTGCCTATCCTTGGTGCTACCATGACTTATCATGAGTATTTCTCTCGGGCTGCGCTGTCCCTTCCCCGACCAATACCACTGATAAACCCATTCGTCACATCTCACAGCGCGCACTCACATTCGCCATCTAACACTCCCGTCCACGCCACTGACCCACATGACGTCACGATGACGTCACTAAGGGGTGGCCCAGTGATCTGGACACCTCTGCATGTTGTCAGGTCAGCGCTGGCGGCAGTCTGCGGCTGTCCGAGCGGCCATTTCTCAGCGCGTCAGACCCGCTGACGGTACCCGGGGTGGGGCGATTGTTTGTTATTTCTACGGCGGCTCAGCCCTGACTCAGAGGGCACGGGGAATGTGGGGGAAGGTGATGTCGGCCTGTCGGTCTGTCGGCCTGTTGGTCTGTCTGTAGGTCTGTCGATCTGTCAGTCTATCGGTCTGTGCTTGTAGATCTGCCAGTCCATTGATCTGTCGGGGTGTGGGTCTGTGTGTGTCTGTCTGTCGGCCTGTATGTCCCTCTGTCGGCCTGTTGGTCAATAAATTTATATTTACGTTAAATAAATCACTTACATTCTATGAGACCCTGGCCAATTTGTACCATATTGATAATGCGCAGGCTGCTTTATTGCACTATCCAATTTCCGAAAACGAATAAGGCCCAAATTCATCGCCATTTTCTCTACTGAAGCATTTACTCAAGTGAAACACATTTCATTTGACTTTTTTCGTCCTTGCTCTAAACAAATAACAATAAAGTGGACATCCTTTATAAAAAGGCCTCACTTATTTGGCACAGTTTCTCAGCCTGACGCCTAAATATTTTCTGTTGAGCACACCTCACCCCGCACCCAGCTCCCGGTGCCTGATTTCGGGCTGCGGAGCCGCCTTCTCCGTATCTTTAATCCCAAACATTCTCTGTCGTCGGCTGGATCTGTTTAACGGATCCGGTAAACATAGGCTGGAGCTGGGCGGCGCCCAGTCCCCCCCCCCCCCCCCCCTATAGTGGGGGACCTGGCAGCCAGTGAGACCGCGGGGGTGGGCAGTGAGGCCCAGGGTCGACCCGGTCCAGGTAACGCCAAAGGGCGTGGCCGGGGTCGCTGGCAGCAACGGAGATCCCTCCGCAGGGGGGATGCTTTCGATCACTCTTCATATTGAGCAGAGTATTTTGCAATACAGATGCGTAAATTGACAGTAGCGTTACGCCAATTCGTTGATCATTTTGTGTTGCTTATTTATCTCTGCTGTTCAAGAAGGCTTACGAAATATGTGCTATGACCGTGAAAAGGACACATCCACGTAGGACGTAGATATATTTTCACCTCCAGGCCCCATTTTGCTAAACACCCCTTTTTTCGTTGTGATCCGTACCAGTCAGCTCTCATATACCAGGGCCGCTGCTGGCTGGAATTTGACCCCTGCCCCAGGCGTCTGCATGCTGCCCGTTTCTCGGTATGTACTTTGCAGTGTGATTGGTTGACCTCAATGTAGTAAAGCCGGCCCCAATTCGGCCACGATCTTATCCCTTCGCACACATCACCGAAAGATTCTGCCGACGAAAATGTGGTCTGACAGGCTCTGTGTTTACGTCGGTGGCTAAAGTGCCTCGCCAGTCCCGGCTGAAGACTGTGCTATAGCTTAGAACTGCAACACTCCGAGTTTCTGCTTGCAGTTATTTTATATCAATTCTGCTTTCTAGTTCAAGTATACTGAAGCTATTGAATCTCACGCAAAAATTTATGAGTGGTGAGTGAAAATCCAATCAAACAGACGTCTTTGTTCGTAAGCAATAACTCTGTCCCCCTCTCGCTGTGGTATCGATATGCTCGATCATTTCTGACACTCCCCAGCCTGCCCGATAATCTCATCTGCCGCTCCCCTTCAAACTCCCCGCTAGATTTCCCCTGGAGGTTTGTTTGGCAATGTTATACCGTGCGGGCCATGTCTCAAATTTATTTGCTCCTCTGCACCTCTGAGGAGGGGGGGGGGGAGGGGGCGTAAAGCAGGGCCTTGCCGACAATTCTCCACCATCTCCAATTCTCGAATTACCTTCCCAGGCACACTAATGGCCTTTTGTTGACGCGCAAATCCGATACAGAAAGCAAAGCCGCGAAGTTTGAGATGGCAGGAATGCAGGATAAACTTGAAGGGCGACCATTTCCTACATCGCACGTTAACCTTCTATTGTAATACACGTTTAATTGCAAGATATCATTCATTCAAGACAAATCTCACCCATTGGCCCTGAGACGTTAGACGACGGATCCCAGCATTTATCTGTGTCTACAGCTGAAAAATTGCTCAAACTGATTACCTAGATTTTGCCAATGATCTCAATCACTGTCGTAAAATTGAATGCAGTTTGTAACAAAAGCACATTGTGCTATTAATTAAAATGTGATCCAGGCTTATCCCTTGCTCCTGTATGAGGATTAGTCTCGGGAAAAAAAAAACTATTCAAAACGTGTCGTCTTTTAGCGAACTGCACAATTAAATAAAGCAATAAATCCTCATTAGGAAAAAACTGAGTAGGCATGCAACTGGCTTGATATAATTACTGTGGTAGATCTTTGGCAAAGCGCGCTCTGAAAACAATTCATAAACCCCAAATGAAGTCAAGCGGCCCAGGCCTCGACAGTCGAGCGATAGGCTATCTCAGCTGCCAACATTCTGGAAATCTGCGCCAGCTTTCCGTGCCGCGCAGCGCTTGCCAAAAAATTGGCACATTTCTCCCGTAATCCTGCCTCAGTGCATCAGTCATCTGTTGGCAGCTTTCTACCATTGCTCTAATAGAGCTCCTACCTTATTACCCCTGTATCAGTTCTGCCCTCACCTGATGACCAATTTTCGAATTGGACCTGGCCACGTTACCGGAAGGGGGAACTAAGCGGGAACTCCGCCGTTTCCTTTGGCTGGCAGCGTGCCGCGTCGAGTTGGCTCCCCTCCTGCTGTGACCTCACGCGATCGTCGGCTAAATATTAGACCGAGGGCGGGCCACGGCGCGGGTCGGGTGGGGTCTGTTTGTCGGTTGGTCTCAGCTCCGGTTCATCGCAGGCTCGTCAGGCGCTGGCACCTCTTCCATGGCTCGTTGAATAGAAGGCGACAGTGGTGAAGACGATGGTGCTCGCTAAAGTTATTGAAGCACGAGATACCGAGCTGAACCAGTTATAGTGGCGAGATTCTGTGTGGTATCGACTTGACGGTGACTGGAGACTTGAGAGACTGATCGATACATCTGATCAACAAGTGGCTCATCTGTTTTCTTCGCCCACGTGCCATTGAACAGTCGTCGAGAAATTTCATCAGTCATCAGTCGCCAGCTAATCATCAACCATCACTCATTAGTCGCCAGCTGGTGTAATCAAGCACCAGTCGCCTTCCAGTTCACTCAACCACCAGCGCCGGCCTTCACGGGCCACATTTTGCAGAAGCGCAGACCTCCGCGCAGAAACTCCAACGTCCATCTCTGGCGCCTTCCGCGGGTGGCCAACTGGCCAAGAGTGACTCACTCGTCGCCGGCGTCGCCCTCGCCGCGACTGTCGACAGCGCCAGCGCCGCCAGGCACGTGGCTGAGACGTCGACAGTGCGCGCCGCACAGGGACGGGGCGCGGAGCGAGCCGAGAGGGGCGCGGAGCGAGCCGAGAGGAGTGCGGAGCGAGCCGAGAGGAGTCTGATCTCTGGCACTCGGGAGGTGAACAGAGGGGCGCTGAGCAGTGGTGAGGTGAAGGAGTTGTCAGCAGACGTGCTGAGAGGCTGAGTTGTGATAAGTGCGGTGAGATACCGGTGAATTGTGAGCTGCCGAAGTGAGCAACTGGAGGAAAGCTGTTGAGAACCACGCAGTGAAGTCTGAATGCTGGAAGCCTGTAATCGAACACAGTGATCTAGGCCTAGTTTATCTCAGCCAGAGTTTTGACCTGGAATATTAGAGTGGAATCTCAATCTGAGGACGTCACCTAACCACCAAGCTCACCGAAAGTCAATCACTTGACTGAACCAGCAGCTCACACCCTCTCCAGGATGGCCCGCTCATGCAGCTCGGTCGACCACCCTGACCTGGACTCGGGCCTGGAAGATGACCTGGTCTCCTCGGTGGGTGACGTCCGCTCCGTCTCTGACCTCGAGCTGGACACGGCGCCGGTGACTCGCGCCAGACGATCGCCGCCAGTGTCACCTCACCTCAAGTCCTTCCTGCGGGCGATGAGGACGCCGAAGCTGTGCCGGACTGCGGAGGGGGGTTACGAGCTCGCTGAGGGTGGTGAAGGGAAGGCCGAAGAGCCGGATCTCGAGTGGGAGTGGTGGGAGGGGCAGTGCAGCTTCCTGGGAGCAGGAGTGGGCGAGGGAGACGTCTTCTCGTGGCACCTGGATACAATGGAGAAGGTGAGTGGTTGTCGTCGCCAGCTGAGCGACGAGAAAAGAAGGCTTTCGACTTGACTCGAATTAAAAATAGCAATGCAATACATATGCATGCAACATTTAGCTATGCACCTGAGAAGGCAGTTGTAGCAAATATATCATATTATGCCCATTGGTCACACACACTAGTCGGTCATGGTATGTGAAGATCATGTGGGTTTTCGTTTGTCCTATAACTCAATAGGCAGCGTCGGAGGACTGAGAGACATGCGACTTGCGAGTGTTAGACCACGCATTTGACATAAACTGCCAACTTTTTCAAAACGCTGCACAATAAATATTTCACACATATCAGACATGATCACAGCGCCAAACAGATAAATCCTGCTAATACCATTACATTTTCTTATCGGTGGTTATTTGTCCAGGGTTTGACAACGGTCTAGCTCCAAGGTCCCCGTCGTGCCTACCAGGCTGGCGTTAGCCAGCTCACAGAACCCGGGCGGTGTGCGAGTGGTGCTTGGAGTGATGGCCGCTCCCCTGCGTCCCCAAATAACAACTCTGCACATGGCGATGCTGCAGAGCGGCAGCTCAGCCCGGTTGACGTGACCTGCATCCAACTGAAGGGTGATGTCACTGACCTGTGATGTCGCGGTGCAGGTGTTTGTTTTATCTGATATATTGGCTGGTTAGCGAGAGCTGAGCCAAATCTCTGAATTTTTCCACTCTTATCAATATATGTAATAAGTTTTCGGCGCTGTTGCTTTGTCTCACATTATCAAATGCGACTTCTGCCTTTGCTTATATCGGTATGATGGGCTGGGTTATGTTCAAGCGATGTCGGCAGTTCCAACGGCTATTGACGATTAGAGCCATCGCTTGCCGAAAACCTTGGGGTAGGCCATCCCGTAGGGCAGCGAGGCTGTCCGGTGCAGTCTACCCACGCAGGAAAAACGCTTGAATCCTAGCTTTCGCCGTGTTCTTGATCGATTTGCTGCAAATGCTCCGAAATTGCGATGTTTAGGGAAAGGGAAAATTGGTGACGTTATGAGTAGAGGTCTGCACCGGCCGGCTGCAGCCGCGGCTGGCTGCAGCCCCACGGCTGTGGGCCGGGGCGGCTGCAAATATCTCCAAGAACACGGCTACGGCTGTGGCCACGGCTGTGAGATTTCAAGCTCAATCTTAAGTACTCAAATATAAAATTTTAAATCCTTAATCTTACATTCTGATAAGCAGTATAGCCTGTAAAAATCATGCAAAGGATGCCCAGCAACATTGAAAGTGGTGAAGCCTTTGAGAACCTGTAATGGTTTTACCATTTGCTGTAGGGGAGTTTGCACTCTGGTACAGAATACTAATAATAGGTACCAATTGTTCCTTCATTATCAAGAGCTTGACAGTTTCAGAAAATGCAACATGTTGCATTGTCACATCCCTCTCAAATCAATCTCACCTGGTCATTAGGAGAGCACCTTACAGCTATTGAAGACGAGCGTTCAATAATTCTTTCAGGTAATAGAAAAAGAAATCATGCCTAGGTAAAGGCAGGTAAAGGCTTCATAAAATATTATCTAAAATACCTCTTAGATGAATTTCTGGATTTTCGGCAAGTCCAATTACAAAATATAAAACTGGCGCTTTATGTTCTAACTGGTGTGTGAGTGACCGCTAACAGAAAATGCCGATCAATGAAGCCAATGGAATTAGATTATAAGTGAGCATGAACCTTACTTACGGTTAATTCACATGATGGTGAAAACCCTGAACACGTAATTCACATGACGGTGAAAACCCTGAACACAATATTTCTTACGCGAGCTGTTGACTTTACTAACAAAATGACGTCTTCTTCTAGAAATGTAAAAATTTGATACTTGATCTTTGTTTTAGAGCAAGTTTTTAACTGCATAGCGTTATTATTTAAAAAATTATAATTTTTATGGCTGTTTATAGTGAAACAAAACAATTTATTGCCACTTCCTTTCTATTGACGTCATTAAAAACTCAAGTAAAATTTTTGATTGAAACAGGTAATTGTGGCTCGCACGTCCTTGGGGATTTGAGCGAAGATCATTATTTGGAAAAATCAAACTAGATGAATGTTTTTCTTTCTTGGATGCTCACTAGTGTTTTGATGCCTTGCATATCAAATTAGTTTGAGACTTGCTCGGAAGGCTGCTTCAAGCCTGGCATATCACACCCCAGAAAATATGCAAGGTAAGAAAGAAGCAAGAGTTTTGACTTAGACAATCACTGTTTGACAGTCCATCAACTTCAGTTTCATTTTCCATACCTAACATTGATAATGAAAAGCATCAGGGTCTGTTGTTCTGTCCCACAACCATGCTTCAGGATTTGGCATTAGATGTCTACACTGCTAGTGCTTCTATTCTGGTTTGTTGTTTATGTTTTCTGTTGATGTAGGTACCTACCTACCCATCTTTCTTAACAACTTGCAAGGGCTTGTGTAGGCATGCATTGCGCATCAGGCTTCAGGCCTTCGGCCTAAAGCCAGATACACAACCACTTAACCTATGATGCTTCATGAGCTTGAGAATCTATAGCCCATTGCAATGTGCCTTTGGCTATATGTTTCAACTAAAAACAACTTAGTATATACTATTTGGTTGCATTTCATTGAAAGTATCAACGGCCGGCTGACGGCTGGCTGCCCACAGTTTGCCACGGCTGTGGGCGGCTGTGGCTGTGGAGCCACGGCTGCGGGGCGGCTAGGCTGTGGAAAATTGCAGCCGTGCAGAACTCTAGTTATGAGAGCCAACGACAACATAAACAACTACAACAACAGACACAATCACAACTGAACTTACGAACAGAGAAAGTACAACATGCCAAAATACGGGGAACATATTTACATTTCAAGCTTCTCTTTTGACCACTTGGGATGACGCCGCTGCGTGTCTAATGTTTATACGTTCTATCTCACAGGCTGTTTGAAGCAGTCTCGTTTGACAGGACAGCTGGTCGTTCATCTGTCACACACTGACCTCCGCGTGAACGCTGAACACACGTGGGCCACGTTCTCGGGTAGCTCTGAGCGTGTGAAACAAGTGGTGATAACCAGAGGCACGTGGGAGGCAGAGGCAGGTGGTGTAATGTGATCCATGATCCCGTGCACTGGTTGCCCTTACCCACGGGGCTGTTTTGTGTTGCAAAATACAGTCAACGAACTCAAAACGCTCTAAAGCGCAAGGCTCGATATGATTTCTTTCCACGATATTTCGTTATGTTTATGATTCATTCATAAACCCATCGACCTGGTCCGTTTGAATCGACTTATAAGCCTGTTTTGTTATTTTAAAAAAACGTGTCTCAAGGGCTCTGAGTCGCGCTAGATTGACTCGTTGGTACCCGGAGATGTCTTATACCGTGGCCAAAAACAACGCCTGGTGCTGAATGCTCCAATAATAACCTCGGAGTCATGACAATAGAATCGGAGCTCACAATCAAAACTACTTGTTTAATGAAATGAATGCTTAATTGTGTTTAGTTTGGCTTATTTGAATAACACCAACGGGCTTGCATAGCCAGTTATACGAATAAAATCGTCAAATACTGGCCTATATGGCTCTGACCTTGCTTTTTTTCGGTTAATTCCCTGGAGAATCAATCTTACTGAAGGCGTGTTCGATTACGAAATGTGAGAACTTTATTTCCCTTGGGCGTACGGCATGTGACCGTTCTATTTCGACTGTTTTGGTATAAGTAACTATCTTAGGTAATCCAATCAGCCTGACCTTCCCCCATTATGTCAGGCACCCGTGCACTTCTGTGTACTCCACCTGACCTGACCTAACCTGGCCTCGGTCTTCAGGTACACGTGCTGGAGCGACAAGTCACCGTGCTGGCGGAGAACCAGAACAACAACGATGACCGCTACACGCGCAGCAAAGAGGAGAACGCCGCTCTGCAGGCGCGCCTCATCATGCTCGAGGAACAGGTCAGTTGTAGGGACTCAAACGCCTCCACAACTTGAGGAATTAGTCGAAACAAATTTACAATTCTGAGGTTGGCCCGGTTTGTAATTTGTTTTTAATTCACGATTACTTGTACACGTGTTATTACAACAACAACAACAAAAACATCGTGAAGCTTTATCTGGTCGCACTCGAAACGCAAGATGTACATAAGCTGTGAAATGTTTTTTTTTTTTTTGTTTTAAATAGATTTTGTGAGCAATGGAACACTCTTTCATCTCCGTGAGCTTTGAATCTCCGTTTTAGGTCCCTGAGTTTGATGCTCTTGAATCGTTTTGACTGCGCTAGATTCGAATCTGTTTTCAGATGTGTGGTCAAACTCCGTGACTGAGTCTGTGTTTCAGCTCCGTGGTGACTCCGTGACTTTGTTTTAGCTCTGTGATCTAACTCCTTGACTTTGTTTCAGCTCCGTGATCTAACTCCGTTGCTTTGTTTTAGCTCCGTGATCTAGCTACATTACGCTAGCACTCTATTTCAGCTCGGTGATCTAACTCCGTGACTTTGTTTCAGCTCCGTGCTGTAGCTCCATGACTCTGTTTCATCTCCGTGCTGTAGCTCCATGACTCTGTTTCAGCTCCGTGCTGTAACTCGGTGACTCTGTTTCAGCTCCGTGAGGTGGAGCTGCGCTCAGCGGAGCAGCTGGATGCGGAGAAAAGGAGACACAAGGAGCTAATCCAGCGCCTGGAGCGGGAGAAGACGCTGGAGCTGGAGAACCAGAGCATCAGGTGAGCCCTTACCCGGCACTGAGCCAGGTGAGTCAGCACCGGGCGTCAGGGTTCTACACAGGATGCGAATCACCTGGCATCACAACATTACAGCAGTCGTAACTTACTCCAGTCTCCACTCATAATTCGGAGCTATCCTCGATTTTATCACCTCTACACAAACTGCAGCCTATATTACTTATCTCTTTCTATTCCCCTTGAAAAGTGCAGTTTATAGCAACCTCCCTCACATAAAAGACCACAGACTGTGAGTAGTGCTTCTAAATCCCCTCTTTCGTCGCAGACTTCAGTCTAACGACACTCCCTATATCTCTCCTCACAGACTGCAGAGTCTGATAATCACTCGCCTCTCTCCCAGCAGACTGCAGTCTGTATGACTCCTCCCTCTCTCCCCCTCAGACTGCAGAGTCTGGAGAAGGAGGTCCGGTTCGCGGAGACAGAGGCGGCTCGCGCTCGCCAGCAGCTCGAGTCGGTGTGCGCAGAGCGTGCCTCCCAGGAGGAGCGGCTGGCTCAGCTGACTGCCAGCCTGGAGACGGCGCGCCAGGAGAGCAGGAGCGCCGTCGAGCTGGAGCGGCGCGGCCGCGAGCAGCTGGAGCAGGAGCGAGCCGCCCAGTCTCAGGTAACATGACAAAGACTCCATATCAAAGCGTACAAAATTGTAGGATACAATAGATGAAGCGTAAAGCATCGCAGCGGACAACGCTCGTAGCCCATACAACGGGGACAAAAGGAGGCGCGGACAGATATCGGTGGCGGAACGGCAGAGCACGAGAGTTGTAGTGAAGTGTTGGAGGTTTGTGTCAGACAACACAACATAGCATATTATGTCATGGCATAGCATCCTCCAAGACCGCCAGTGAAGGTCTGACCTTCCACCACCTGTACTGTAGCGTGACATCATGCCTTTATACCGTCACTTCCGAAAAAAATAATATCTGTCCTCGGGCATCTGACATGTGATCTGTGACCTGTGACAACTGACCTCTGTTCCATGACCTCTGACGTATGCCCTCTGACCGGTCAGATGATGTCTGAGCTGTCCAGTGAGCTGGCCGACACGCGCCAGCAGGCCAGTCTGCGTCTGAAGACCGAGTCGGACGAGGCAGGTCTGATGCGACTGAGGCAGACGGAGCTGGAGGCAGAGCTGAGGCAGCTCCGACAGCAGAACAGAGGTCGGTGGAATGGAACTCTGCCTCAGGGGGACGCTGGCCACACTGCTAAATGCAGTACTCTCAAAATCTATTAACACATATCTCGATGTATATCGACAGTCGACACACTACCCTCATGAAATAACAAGGACGCCTATCTATCGACTAACCATCATTGCAAAAGTCTGGCCCAGAGGCCTGCATAATCTTCGATAATTTTAATGAACATTTCATCTAAATTGAGCATATTTCAAATTGTTTTAATTTCTTCCTCCCCTTCATAGCCCTCAGAAGGACATTCCCCATTAATTACTAGTCGATATCAACAGGAACACCGGACAAGCTCCACGATAAGAAAAGTCGGTAGATGAAAGGGGATGTACCCGGTCGCCCCGCCTCTAACCGCCCTCCCCTCCCCTGCAGAGCTGCAGGAGAGTCACGACGAGCTGCAGGCGCAGCTACTCTCCAGCGGACTCCAGGAGGGCCGACAGCTGCTGGAGTCGGGACCCAAGAGTCTGGCGCTGGAGCTGGAGGACCTCTCTGGCGAGCAGGTGCGATAACGGCACGGCGCGGAGACGGGAGAGACGGGACGGGACAGGACGGGACGGGGACGGAGACGAACACGGGACGGAGACGGGACGGGACGGGACGGGACGGAGACGGGACGGAGACGGGACGGGACGGGACGGGACGGGACGGGACGGGACGGGACGGGACGGGACGGGACGGGACGGGACGGGACGGGACGGGACGGGACGGGACGGGACGGGACGGGACGGGACGGGACGGGACGGGACGGGACGGTGCGATAAAAGAAGGGACAGGATAGCTGGAAAATTGTCAGTGGGATAGAAAACTGATTCGGGAAAGTATGCTATAGTGAATAGGCGAATTATGAGAGAGTATTTGTCGTGATTGTTGTCATGACGAAATATTGCTTACTGTAATATGTTTCAATTTTTATTTGCTTTGTAAATTTTAGTTGCTTCTATTTTCCGCACCCCACAATGTTTCACGTATAGACACAGACACAACGATTGCTGAATGACACTAGCACACACGACATGCTAAAACGAGATGTCATGCCCTTATGCAAAGTACTGGCACGCTCTTTGATTGCATTCCATTCTGCAGCTAAATAAAAGCTAAAATGACATTTACTGTGGGCACCCGAACATTAAATAAATAAAAACATCAGGTCTTGTGCCGGTTCGGCTTACATGATGTGTTTAAATTGGCATCGATCACATATTATCCAATGAATACGTCTTTCTTGGCGTATTGGGCGTACTGGCTCTGCCTATAAACTGACTTGCGGCTTGTATCTCTTAGTTAGCATTTCCCTACTTCTGTGATAATAAATAATGGTTACATTTCTTTTAAGGTGGATGCTGGTGATGCGTTAGATAAGGTGAGAGGATCTAATCGATTGCAATGGGTATACATGAATTACTACTAATCTACGCAGCGGATGCTTACTAAAATGAATTCATTTTAGATATTCTACGTTTTCCTTGTATTTTGATGGTTGACAACTAACAGGATGCGCTTGGAACGTTGCCCCCATTCTCTCATATATCCTAGAAATGGTATCACGCAAAATCACATAGGCATGAGAACATACCTTAAAATGAATTTTAGTTTTCGTTTGTAATCCTTTGCCCGCTTTGAGAGCACATGTCTATACATGAAACAATGATAAACGCATGGCTTTACGTCTAACGGCCCGGCGCTCTTGAAATTGGACAGCAATAAGCATAAGCGTAGTAACAAGGACATTGATCACGGCAACATGCACGAATACAATGCACATACACGGTTACAGGCTATGTATCACTGATATATAACATAAGTCCCTGCGTATATAAGACGCTTCACTGATGCATTTCACTGGTATCTCATTCTCTGTTGAGTAAAAGAAAGATGCTAGTTACTTTTACCCATCATTTATCAGCTTGGACTTGGCTCTTTTGTTACTAACTTGGGCTGCTTATTTTTTTTCTCAGTAGTTGCTTGTGTCTTTATTTTTACGCATTCAGTTTGTTTGTGCCTCCTAAAAGTCTCATTAATTATGCATTGTTAGAGGAAAGTCCACGTTTCAGCCTTTGAGCGTGTCGGACGTCGATATTTGATGAATAACTATGTCCGGTGCTTGTGAAATCGAGATGAAGTAGTAATTTCAAGACAGGCACTTCGCTGCATTTCAGCTCAAAGTCAACGTAATGATATTCGGCAGGGGGATGCCGTGAAGGCACATGAGTTGTGTTCTAATTGGCCGGCAATATCTTGGTCCTTCATGCCGCTGCATTGTGAATCAGCGTCGTTATATTTCCCTCATTAGCCTTCTTCATCCAGTGTAATTTCATATAACTTCCGTTGGCATTTGTGTTACTGTTCTAATTTCAGGTGACTTAAAATTGGCAATGGGTGGGTACATTTCAGATGGAGACGTTTGGCTTGCCGATCCTGTGACTATACGTACAAACGGTCTCATTAGACCATTCTGGCCTTCCCTCCCCTTTTCTCACCTGGATGGAATTTCTTATTTGCGTCCCTCTTTCGCCAGCTGAAGAAGTCCCTTCTGGAGCAGCAAGAGGTCAACAAGCAGCTGCGAGCCTACATCGACGGCATCCTGCTCAACATCGTCGAAAACCACCCACAGCTTCTGGAAGTCAAGCAGCACCCCTGAGCGAGCCTGGGAACGTGCGGACGCGCTGTGAACCTGTGTCGAACTGAACTGCCGCTCAGACAGTCCGGGCGAACTGCTGCGTGGGCAATCAGCTGTCTCTGAACTGCTGCGCGGACAATCAGCTGTTTCTGAACTGCTGCGCGGACAATCAGCTGTTTCTGAACTGCTGCGGGGATAATCAGCTGTATCTGGACTGAAATGTCAGCTATGCAGCTGAACTGATGACAAAAAGTTCAGAAAAGAGAAAAGACTGAGTGGTGATACCGGTCAGTTCGACCGTGTGAGATGATGCTATACCAAATATGTGGTGATATAACAGACACACATGACCTAGGAGCTGATGCGTTGCTCCCTCAGTGAGCGAATCGTACTCACATGATGGCTTATTCAGGAGAACACGAACTGACTGACTGTCAAAGTAATGCTGTTCGTACAGGATGATGTGTCATCTACATTATGTGTCACCTGACTGAATGTGTCAGCTGTCACCTGACCTAATGTGTCACTTGTCACCCGACCTAATGTGTCACCTGTTACCTGACCTAATATGTCAACTCTTAGGTGTCGTCTCTTTAGCTTGCCACACGCCGGGTCTAAAAGACTTATCTAAGGACAGCCTAAAGTGTCGATGAGATGGCAGTCCCGTAGTCACAGGCCGAAAGAGACTCCGAGCATGGGGACATCATGTCCACAGCAGACACTCAACTCAACCAAAACATCGAACTTATGAGCCAGCCTATACCGAGAGGAGCTACATGACACATCTGACACTACTTTTCGTCAAAACACCGCCACCGAATCAGACGAGCTGTTCCACGGGACGAAGTGCTGCCATCTGGCTCAGAGTCAGATAACAGTTGAGCTGAGTTGAGTCACCGTAGTGCTCAAAACACGGCGAGCAGAATCTGATCAGCCATGGAACCACCGTCCGTCCATTTGTCGTCACATCAGATTGCTGAAGGAAGTTCAGCAGACGGTGTCGTACCCGCTGTAAGCAAAGACAACGTTTTACCCCCTTTTTAACCCGCGAGTTGCTGGGGGGGCGTTAAACGCCCCCACTTTTTTCGCCGGGCCATAGCATAAAAACGGCGCGCCGCAGGCGCGCCAAATTTTGGGTACCTGTAGGGAATTGATTGAAGTTTATTGTGACAAAGTTTCAAAAAAATCGGTCGGAAAATTTTTGAGATATCGAGGTTTTAGTGACGTCATGATTTCTGAGTTTTCGACCAAAAACGGCATATGTTCAAAAAATCATATAAAATCACAGAATAGACATACAGACATGCCGTAAACGCCATTAGACTGCCAATACCATGATCAATCAAATGGCTATCTTCGATTATTGATTATCGTTCCGCATTTTCCATAATCTTGAACTGAATCTTGGCAATTTTTCGTGACTACTTCACGACCATGATACATGCATTTCTTAAATTGAACTTTTTGAGCCAAACACGTACACATATGATAAAATGAATGTCACCATCGTGTTTTACGCCCCAAATTACCTATAAAACATGTGTCACAGGCTGCGAATATCAGTTTTGATTTTCGGGGATATGTGCCTACCCGGTTGACCTGACCTTGACCCTGACCTATGCTTGACTGACCCCTACATGGAGGTGACACTCTTGTAGGCCTTATATGATGGATTGTGCACCGTTTTGACAGAGTTTATGACGAGAGGCGCCCATTGCGAAGTCCTGATGTCCATGCTACTGAAAGCCCGATTTCAGGTGTTTGACCTGACCTTGACCCGACCTGTGACCTCAAAATTCAACTTTAAAGTACTCATCTGAAGCGTCTCGTCGCGTTCTTTCGTTTGCCGCCTCGTGCGTTTCGCTGCGCCTATTGGTTCTCGAGTTATCGGCTGGGGGCGTTTAACGCCCCCCCCCCCCCAGCAAACGGTGGGTGGCGAAATACCCCAGCAACTGCCGGGTTAAGGGTGCCTAGGTCATTGGGCCGTGTAAAAGAGTGCTGTCGTGCTGATAGTTCTGCCAATGAAACAGGCTAGATGGCTGACTTGCGAATTACGATGCTGTTTACCGGTATTTTCTGTAGGTGGTAATATCAGTGCAGGATCAGCTGTCCGTTACATCAATGAAAATTGCTTATGTGTGTATGCAGCGGTGTAGATGTGAATGTGTGAAATATGCGATGCGATGTTACGCAGGAAATATTCAATGTTGAATGAATGCATCGTATCTTGTGCATCGACAAGCTGTTGGCACATGTAATTAGGTATCAAATGATCTATATTTTTGTGGAATTTCTTTCTCTCTGTCCAGTCCATGTACGGTGTCGTTGTGTTTCTTTACATTTTCCGTCTGGCCATGGTGAGAAGGTGTGATCAAAAAAGATCACCAAAGTCAAAAGTGAACAATGTGTTTAGGAGAGATGTTGTGAATGATGAAGTGAGCTGCCTGGCTTAGCATGGTGTAGTACAAGAGCGAAACAGAAGGTCGATTGGTGCTATCGTAATGGAACATGCAAACAATAAAAACAAAGACTTTGTCTAAGCATCCACAGATATGAGAATGGACTGAGTATGCCGGGTGGGCCGACAGGTGGCGCTGAAGAAAAACTTCAGTAGAAAAACGAGAAACTGACCATAACTTTGGAACCTGAAGATAAACCTATGTAAAAAATAACTTCATACAAAATCTGTGGTTGGTAAGATGTCATAAAACTACATAGGCATTTTTATGTCATTCCTAGGATGATTTTTGAGTTTTTGTCATGGTATGTCATGTGTCTCAATACATGATATGTCGTTACGAGCGAGCGAGCGCAGCGAGCGAGCGTATACTGAATTAACCCGCGCCCCGAAGGGCTATCGGCGGACCCTACCACCCGTAGGGGGGGGGGCGTTTCAGGCACCCCCCCTAAGATCTCGGAAATTTACCGGCCGATTTTCAAAATTCAAACGGCGTTCGATAGCCCCACCCGGGAACTACCTACCGATGACGTCACAGGTCAGGTCAAACAAAGGTCGGATTTTCACCGTTCACAGCCATTTCAAGAAATGTGTTGTGAAATCGAGTAAATTGGTAAGTTATTGAAAACCATCGATGGTACATTGTTCGTCAAACACATACTTCGCTTGGTTTCGTAGTGATTAACCCTCGCATGTGTGCGGCGTTTGCCAGCTTCTAATGTGTAGGGGGGGGGGGGGGTCGGTTGGACCCCCCCTTGCCGTTTGGCCCCTGATCGAGCTAGAGCTTCGCGGAAAGAACGAGCGTGTTGCCCGTGACGAGAGGAAGCCGATGATACCCAATTTTAAGGTCCTAGGTCATTGGTTGACCTTCCAGGTCAGGTCAATGACCCAAAGTCGGGAAAATCGGGACCTGTTAGAAAGTCGTTAAGTGTGGCTGCTAAGGGTTTTTTTTGGGGTGCTGATCACGAATATCGTGTTAGTTTTGATCACAGATGATGTCTTGAAGCATTTAGACTAGGTCGGGTCAGGTCAGGTCAGGTCAACCAGTAGGCGTCGTGACGGGTATTCGTAGTACGTGTCAACCGCCTCTGAAAGCTTCGTAACATGTTACGAAGTCACCAAAACTACTTCGTAAATGTTCAAATGGTTGCTAAATTCGAATTCAGCTCCAAAAACTAGCCTAGAAACATGTAAAACTCGAAAAAGTGAACCGAGGTCACCCGAGGTCACCAAAGGTCAATGACCTGACCTGACCTTCAGGTGACCTTGACACACACGGGAGGAACATCAAATCACATGTTTGAACGTTTGAAACCACGAAAAGCTTGCAAACACGCGGCTAGTGCGAGCCGACATACGCGAAATCGCGATTCCGGCCAAACATGGTCTCGGAAAAGAGGTCACAGGTCAAAGGTCATTTGGGTCAGGGTCATGAAATTTTCAGGGTAGGTGTAAAATTGATCAATGCGAGGGTACTGAAAGTTTCGTCGCGATCGGCCGCTTTTTACGCGAGTTATTCGCGAAAAACCATGGGGGGGTCCATCCGACCCCCCCCCCCTACACATGCGAGGGTTAAGCCATGCTGTTGGACAAGGCGTTTCAAACCCTCATGTAAACGAGGTCTATTATGTAGATTGGTAGACTAGGAAGCTGGTGGAATAAGGAACATTTTCGGATTGGAGCCAATGATATTGGAGTGCTGCGATATCGGCTAGCAGGCGAGCTGTTGCTACCTCTTATTCTGCTACTAGGAGCTATCGGTTGCCACGACAAGCAATTTATGTCCAGACTGCCTTACATCACTCAGTGTGTACCCGGGTGATGTCACGGATATCCTGCCCAGTGCCCAGCTGAGCTGATTGCTGATGAAACGTGCATGGCGTCTGACGACACACTCACGCACACGCGCCTACAGTTGTGTGACCACTCACTGACACACAGATCGACATACACAGTACCCGCATTCAGCTTCAGGCACGGGATGATTCAACCCATTCCAGGAGAGAGACCTGCGGGCAGTGTCTGCGTGCTCTCAGTAGTGTAACGTCTGCAAAGACCCGGACCCAGCCATCTGGTGGCGCTGCCCGCCACAGCCCATATACGGGCCGTGACATCAGCCGGCGAACACCGCAGTGACGCAGCACTTCTGCCGCGCTCAAGTACATTTGTGGATCCACTCAGCGCGTGACCTTGGCACACGGGGGCGGGTCTCGGCGGGCGCGGGCGGCGGCGGCGGCGCATTGGTGCTGTGGACGGCGGACAGTGCGCATCTCTCTGAGCTGGCTTTCTTCCTCTGCTTTCTGGAGCTCTTTTGGTGGCCCTCGCCATGATCGGTACGCTGCTCGGCGTGCTAAGCGCCGTTCTGAAATGGGTGTTTACTCCCCTGCCGTTGGCGGTTCTGGCCTGCACCATGGCCACCATTTACTACTTGATGACGAAGGACTACAGGTTCTGGAAGGCTCGTGGAGTGCCGGGTCCTACCCCAACGTTCCCCTACGGCAACGAGTTCGGGCCGCCGCTAGTTGACTTCATCGGCTTCGAGGAGTGGATCTACAACACTCAGGGCGGAAAGAAGTTTTGTGGTTACATTGAGATGGCGCGTCCAGTTTTGTACGTCGGGGATCTCGACCTCATCCGCGCCATCACCATCAAGGACTTCGAGAGTTTCACCGACCGGCGAGACCTGGCCATCAGCGAAGATTTCATGGAGATGCTTCAGGTGCTCAACGGAAAAGAGTGGAAAGACACCAGGTCTGTTATGTCTCCGACGTTCTCCTCCAGCAAGCTCCGTGCGATGCACCAGCTGTGTCTGGACAACGCCTCCAACCTCAACGACTATGTGAAGGCGGAAATGAAGCGAACAGGAGGAGAGATCGACATAAAGGACTGCTTCGGTCGTTTCACCATGGACAACATCGCCTCCTGTGCGTTCGGTGTCAACTGCAACTCGTTCAAAGACCCGAACACAGAGTTTGCGAAAAACGCCGCCGTTCTGTTCGAGGCACCGACGGGTTTCGCCGCAGTCAGACTGACCTTGCTGGTGCTTCTGGGTAACATAGTGCAGAAGATTCTGCCAGATCCCCTGAAATCTGTTAACCAATTCTTCGCACGCGTGGTGAACCGCACCATCAATGAGCGCCAAACGGGGGACCGGCGCAAGGACTTCCTCCAGCTACTGTTGGACACTAAAGACAAGGACGGCAAGCGCATTCTCACCGACTCCAGCATCATCGCCCAGTCGGTGCTCTTCTTCATCGTCGGCTACGACACGACTGCAAAGTTACTGACGTTCGCCGCTTACTGCCTCGCTACTAACCCGGAGGTGCAGGATGGCATCCTCTCCGAGATTGACGAGGTCCTGGAGCGCCACAAAGGTCAGCTGACCTACGAGGCACTCGGAGAGATGCACCAGCTTGACCGAGCCATCTCGGAGACCCTGCGCCTCTATCCGCCAGCTGCGCGCATCGAGCGTCTTTCCAGCAAGGAGTACACGCTGCCGGGAACGAACGTTACCATCCCCAAGGGAACCGTGGTGCAGATGCCGATTTTCACTCTACATCGTGACCCGGACCACTACCCGGACCCGATGCGCTTCGACCCGGACCGTTTCCTGCCGGAAGAGAAGGAGAAGCGCCACCCGTGCGCTTACATCCCGTTCGGCAGCGGGCCGCGCAACTGCATCGCCATGAGGTTCGCCCTGTTCGAGGCCAAGGTGGCGCTGGCTGCGATGCTGCGTGAGACGCGCTTGGAGCCTGGCCCGAACACGCCCAAGCCACCGATGCCGCTCGACAAGAGAGCCTTCTTGCTGACACCGGAGGGGAACAAGGCTTTCCTGCGAGCCGTCCCCCGTAAATAGGCATTGGGCAGGCATGTATGCTGCTCATGCTGCTTTTGCTTCTGCTAGTGATGGTCAGGAACGGTGTCTTTGTCTGGAGAGCAAACGGCTAAGCTTCTTGATTCACGTCGCTGTTATTGCCAGTAGGGAACCAGTATTGTATGTATGTACCTATATCGTTCAAGACTTGTAATTATGTTCAATGTTTTACTAAGAGTAACAGCTTGCGATAAGTGCATGTAAAACATGATATAAAAGTATTGAAAATTGAAACATCGAGCCCTGGTTCTAACATTATAGTTGTCACTGTGGCCATTCATCTTTTTTATCTTTCAAAGCCTGCCATTGGCGACACTCTGTCAAATGCTCCGCCATTTCGATGCGTAGTCTTTCTGATGGCGTTGAGCCTCATCTTTCAGACAGTGGGTACGGCTGACTGGAACCTTTACTTAGCCCTCGCCGGCCGAGGGGGGGGGGCATCGGGTGCCGCCCCCCCATATATTTTTGCGATAGCTCCGAACACGCTGGCGATAGAGAGCTTTTAGACTTGGCATACCTGACCTTTGATTCAAGCCGGATCTTTGAACACCAACCGCATTTTCGGGTCAGGTCAGGTCACTGACCTATGACGTCATAAGTGAACCTCTGCACGGTCTTCAGATGTTGCAAATTCGCAACGCCCTCACTGCCAGAGGAGGTTTCACAAGGAAATGAAACTTGCAGGATCTAGTATACATTATGAGTCTCACAACTTGTATATCTCGGATTTTTCCTAAAGGTCATATGAGGTCAGGTCATTTTCGCGACCTCACCATTATAAGTCAATGGGGAAAAATACAAACTGCTATTCTGGCGCCGGGAACGATCTCTAACTATCTCAAGCACACAGAATCGTGATTTGATGCACTCCTTGCAAGGTTAAATGCGTCACTTTTGCCATGTTGACCTTGCGTGACGTCACTTATGACGTCATCAAGGTCATATTCGTTTTTCGTCAATAATCCCCGATCAACTAGACCTAGCGAGTCGGGAAAGCCACCAATTGACTCAGGAAGACCTGCCTAATTGAATGATATGCGACATGACCTCTTCCGGCAAACTTCGTGACATGGGGGCGCTGACCTGACCGTGACCTGAGGTCAACACCCTAAGATGACCTGACCCAAACAAAAAGTATATCATTCGACGCGCCTGGGCGAGGCGAACACGATGCTGCCAAAATCGCGGCTCTTCTACTGTTTTTTTTTTTTGCGAAGTTATTCATTAAAAACTGAACCGTACCTTTGGACACTTGACCTGACCTCAGAGGTCACCGGTTGACATTGGACCTTAAAATCGGGTACCAATCTCTGTGTCTCGTAACGGTGCAAACACTTTTTTTCCGCGACGCGCCAGCTCCACCAGGGGTGAGGGGGTCGTACCCGCCCCCCCCCCCCCCCTCGGCCGGCGCGTATGTAGATAACCAATAGGTCCGGTTAGAATATCGCCGACATGCTCCTCTTTTTAAGCACGGCCGATTGGATATCAGCGTCTCGGGTCGCCTGTCAAGGTTATCGCGTGACTCACTTCATCACGGAGGCCGAACCGCAAACAACACGATAGTACATACTCCTGGCCATCGACTTTATATGGCAGCACTGGTGAATACAGGGCCCAATCTTACCAATGCCGTAAATAGGATTTGGCAGCACTGGCTGGAGTAACGGCACTTGCGAGTATGCCAAGTATTTTCTTTTATTTATCATTCATCTAATCTTGTCCAATGATTTTGACAGCGGGAATGATTACGCATGTTTCCTGGACGAAAGAATAAATAAATGTTGAATAGTTCTGAATGTTACCAAATGCCGTGAATGTGCATTCACGGCATTTGGTAAGATTGGGTCCAGGGGCCTGTGAATTAAACCGCGCACCGTGGCCGGGGGGGGGGGGGCTAAACGGCCCCCTGTCCTTTTCCGTCGATATCTCCTAAGCGGCTGGATATATCACCACCAAACTTTTAGGACCCCTCAGGGCATCAATTTTACACGTTGTGACGAAAAACGTTTCCAAAGGCGATGATAGGTTGGCCACAAATGACGTCAGAATGACGCCATGTTCTGCCATTTTCGACCGAAAAAAGTCCTTCGCGAGAAGAGCTGTCAGGCCTACAGCTTTGAGGATACAAAAAAATGATTAGGAGGTAAAAGGTGTAGGATTAACAGGGCTACAAAACTATTACCTCAGATTTTTGCATTTTTTGTGTTTTGACCCCCAAAATCCAAAAAGCATTTTTTAAATATATTAGCCAAAACCATTGACCTCTATAGTAATCTAGACGGCCCACTCCCGCGCCGCAATCGTTCCCGTATGGGGGCTCAGTGGCGCCACCTGCAAGTGGTCAGAAGTTCCCGGCCCCTATAGATGGTCTATGTTAAGTGGGTAACTTTTGAAGCTGATTTTTATGAAAGATACAGCCTGCGGATGGCTGAAAAGGATTGTTATGTAACTGAACATGCTTTTTTTAAGGTGTGATGTGCTCGATTACCAACAGGATGGCTCGAGCCATGCAATAAAGTGCATTATTTCAAATGACCCGGACGCTGGCAGTACAAAGCATACCGAAACGTGGAGAGCCTCCCTGCCGTAGGTAAGGCCATGCAGGACCAGGAACGTACACACTTCTTACTCAGGTGGCAAAAGATGATCATTCCAGATCGATGGTGATCCGCGGGCTGGATTCGGCCCGCGACCATTTGACGTCCGGCTAGCGTCTTGTAACAGCAACTAACATCGCGTTCCAGCCCGTGGTACCTTCATATATCGATTTTATTTTCCGTACAACAGTCTATTAATTACGCTGTCATATATTTCTCAAATATTGCGTGTGACTGTAGCAAATTGCAACCATTCCATGCTCCGGCCCGCCGGCTGCTTCCTAATCGCTTATCTGGCCCGCACACAAAAAAGGTTGCCGATCCCCGATGCCTATAAGCACTGGCAGACTATCAGGGATGGAAATTGCAAGTAGACGAGAGGCAGCCGATTATACCTGATTTTAAGTTCCTAGGTCATTGGGTGACATTCCAGGTCAGGTCAATGACCCAAAAGTCGGGAAAATCGGGACCTGTTAGAACTTCGTAAAGTGTAGCTGATATGGGGTTTATCGGGGTGCTGATCACGAATAGCATGTTAGTTTTGATTACAGATGGTGTCTTGATGCATTTATAAGGCCAGGTTGGGTCAGGTCAGGTCAGGTCAACCAGTAGGGGTCCTGCCGGGTAGGTATTCGTAGTAGGTGTCAACCGCCTCTAACAGCTTCCCAACATGTTACGAAGGCACCAAAACTACTTCTTAAATGTTCAAATGGTTGCTAAATTCGAAGTAAGCTCCAAAAACTAGCCTACAAACATGTAAAACTCGAAAAAGTGAACCGAGGTCATCAAACGTCGATGACCTGACCTTACCTTAAAGTGACCTTGACACCCACCCTAATGCACGGGAGCAACATCATATCACATGTTTGAACGCTTGAAACCACGAAAAGACTGCTAACGCGCGGCTACACTCAGAAAACACTTTGAGAACATTTTTGAATAAGGGCTCATATGAGTGCCAAAACAGGGCTCAAATCTGTATGATTTTAAAATCGGGATCAGTTAGGCGCCCTTTTCGGGCTCAAAGTACATTAGCCCCGAAAGCGGCATCAGTTCGTCTTCCTTTTCGGGCTCAATTCGAGCTGCGTTTTAGGGCTCCATACGACATTCCGCCATTCCGTCTTTTGCTGTTTTCAGTGCCATGTGTTGGTGTACCTACCGCCGTGATTTCAAAATGAATGGTAAGTTATTAGTTATCAGTTTTCGCTATCTTTTAGAAAAAATCAAGATGTTGATGCTCATGCCATTTTAATCCCTTATCAATTAAAATTGTGGTGGCATTTGTTCAGAAAAGGTCTGATCTACAATTGTGGCGCCGTTGATACGAATACGCACGGGTTTGATTATTCGTTTTTCTTGTATTTGCGCCACATGAAAGCATCATATCTGGATTCAGGATGTCAAATAGTGTAAGAATGTGCAAAAATTTTGTCTGGTTCTTCGTGATGATGTGATTGAAGCAATGCTTTCAAGGGTAGGTAAGGATTTTGTTACTTGTTCGTAATGGTTATCTTGATGCTCAACTAAAATTAATCCTAACCTTGCCTACTAACCTATTAAGTTAAACTTAGTACCAATACCTACCAACCTACAACCTATTTGGATCTTTCATATACTTATAACATGCTGCTGCTTCTGCTAACATGCTGCGGAATGCTGGTTGACATGATGGAATGCTGGTATGACAGTGTTCCATGTTTCAGAATTTTAGGTGAATAACCACACATGATGGGGAAAATGTTTTCATCCTAAAAATATGACAAGTGGCTTTATTTCATCTTTGCTAAAAAAACATGTCAAAAGTTTGATTCAACAGCCAGCTGCCAGGTTACGCATGACTTGACAGTTGATGCATCTACTCTACATCATTTCATTTCAGATCCTGTGAAGGTTCTGACAAAATCTGAGGTAAAAATGGCATTATGCAGTTTTGCGGAAGACTAAATCTATCTCATTTTGTCTTCAGATTTTTTTTATTGGGACACCCAATTGAAATCCAATTTTAGAACACTGTGACACCATGCCTGTGTGCCAAGTAAGAGGAAGGGTCTACAAGTAAACATCAAGATAACCAATTATGGACAAGTTGAGACTTGAGTCATGAGCTCTTATTTGTGGTTACAATACCTTCAACTGCATGATTTTGCACAACTTCCATACAGGCATCCAGACTGGAAAAGGTTCAAGTCCATACTTATTCTGGTGCTTGAATATGGCAGTTCAAAGATGGAAGGCATATGATGCTACAAAATGAAAAAATAATTCAACTTACCTACAAAAAATAGGTATTCATATCTATCCTAAACTAAACTAACCTAAACTTACCTAACCTAATCCAACCCAACCCAACCACCCCAACCAGCCCAGCCCAGCCCAACCCAGCCCAGCCCAGCCCAGCCCAGCCCAGCCCAGCCCAGCCCAGCCCAACCCAACCCAAAACCTACAGTCTAAAACCTAGAGCTAAAACCTGCAGCCCAAACTGGAAAACATCCATATGGTACGCCGGACGCCCGTGAAGCCGTCATGCGCCGAAGTTCGGCGCAAGCTATTTTGCAATTTGCGCTGAAATTTCTCCATTATTTGCGCCGAAGGTTAGTGCCCTTTTGCGTCAAAATTAAGCCACTTATACAAAAAGCACGTTTACATCTGCTGGCCAAGGTTTTATAAACCAGACAGAAC